TCCGGCAATTTCGTTAAGTGATATTTACTTCCGGTCGGAAGTTATCGCCCTTTTATCAAAATTTAGAGGACCTCCTTGTCTGCGATGGAACTCAAAAACGGCTTAGGCTAGAGTGCTGAAATTTTCAGTGATGATAGAGGACATGTTGCCATGTTGCACCTGGGTTTGGATATTTTCCGGAAGTGCCTAGTATGGAAGCTCGGTAGGGGTCGAAATTTAGGACACGAATCATAAGTGAATTTTTGAGACATTTTGTATCATATCTTCTAAAGTATAATTATTTTGTTAAAACATACTGAAGAATATTTGTGCAGAATGACAAGATCTTTAATATGGTATCAAGAAAAAAGGGCTGACTTATCATATTAGGGGCCGAGAGGGGCCAAAAGTATTAAATCAATAACTCTTTAACGATCAATATTTTGGTATACATTAAAGAAGCAAAAAAGTTTATCATAACAATTTACAACTATATATTATAATATTTATGTCATATGTTACATAATTAGGGGGCCAAAAGGGGCCAGAATGCCAAATCTTTGGCACTCTATATCTCGAAAGCGGGAAATATTTTGATAAGCAATATTGAATAAAAGATGTTCAAAATAATGTTCTAAACAATATTTAACCTTTTGATTTTCGCTAAACGTCCCCATTAAGGAGTTGAAGAGCTGGCCCCTAAATATATCTTTTGCAAATATCTCAGAAACGAAAAAGAATTTCTGAATAGTTGTTGAACAAAAAGTGTTCAAAATCACAAGACCTTTCATTTGATATCAAGTAAAAGGGGCTGACCCCTTAAATTAGGGGCTCAGAAGAGCCAAAAGTCTTTCATCTATAACTCTTTAATGATTAATATTTTGTTTTAAATTATTGAAGCAAAAATGTTTATCTTAAGATTCTGCAACTATGTATTATAAAATTTTGACCATATGTTACGTAATAAGGGCCATAAGGGGCCAGAATACTAAATCTTTGACACATTATATCTCGAAAAGGGGAAATATTTTGATAAGCAATATTGAACAAAAGATGTTCAGAATAATGTTCTTAAAAATACACACCCTTTTAATTTTTGCAAGACATCCCCATTAAGGACTTGGAGGGCTGGCCCCTAAATATTGTTATTCTATATATCTCTTAAACGAAAGGAAATTTCTGAATAGTTGTTGAACAAAAAGTGTTCAAAATCACAAGACCTTTCATTTGATATCAAGAGAAAGGGGCTGACCCCTCACATTAGGGGTTCATAAGGGCCAAAAGTCATTCATCTATAACTCTTTAATGATCAATATTTTGTTATAAATTATTGAAGCAAAAATGTTTATCTTTACATTCTGCAACTATATATTATAAAATTTTGATCATATGTTACGTAATAAGGGGCCATAAGGGGCCAGAATGCTAAATCTTTGACACTTTATATCTCGAGAAGGGGAAATATTTTGATAAGCAATATTGAACAAAAGATGCTCAGAATAATGTTTTAGACAATATGCATACTTTCACTTTTTACAGATGAATATCTCAGTCAAGATCTTGACTAATCTTATCCAAAATCAAACGGAAGACCCACTCGTTGCTCGCAACGAGAACCATCTAGTTATTATTATTATTCCACTTTTTCTTTACAATTTTTGTGCAGAAGATATCTCGCAAACGGTTCAATCGATTTTCATGAAATTTTCAGGGGTAATGCCTTTTGATCTGAAGATGATCCTTTTTTGTTCAAATCCTTAAAATTCACTTCCGGTCGGAAGTTATCGCCCTTTGATCGATTTTCAGATAACCATTTTGTCGACACAAAAACTAAAAAACGGCAAAAGCTAGAGCGCTGAAATTTTCAGCGATTATAGACGACATGTTGAAGTTTTGCACCTGGGTTTTCAAATTTTCCGGAAGTACCTAGTATGGAAGCTCGGTAGGGTTCGAAATTTAGGACATGAATCAGGAGTGAATTTTCGAGACATTTTTCATCATATCTCTAAAACTATGGAGATTTTCTAAAAACATATTGAATAGAAATTGTGTATAATTACAAGATCTTTTATATGATATCAAAGAAAAAGGGCTGACTCATCACATTAGGGGCCGAGAGGGGCCGAAAGTCTTCAGTCAATAGCTCTTTAACGATCAAAATTTTGTAATGCATTACTGAAGCAAAAATGTTTATCTCAACAATTTACAACTATATATTATAATATTCACATCATATGTTACATCATTAGGGGCTATTAGGGGCCAGAATGCAAAATCTTTGACGCTTTATATTTCAAAAGTGGGAAATATTTTGATAAGCAATATTGAACAAAAGATGTTCAAAATAATGTTCTAAACAATATGAAATGTTTCATTGTTCTCTAAACGTACCCATTAAGGAGTTAAAGGGCCGGCCCCTAAATACTTCTTTTGCTGATATCTCGGAAACGAAAAAGAATTTCTGAATAGTTGTTGAACAAAAAGTGTTCAAAATCATAAGAGCTTTAAAGTGATATGAAGAAAAAGGGGCTGGCCCCTCAAAATAAGGGCAGAGAGGGACCGAAAGTCTTTAATCAATAACTCGTTAACGATCAATATTTTGTAATGCATTACTGAAGCAGAAATGTTTATCTCAGCAATTTACAACTATATATTATGATATTTAAGAGTCATTCTCTGTAAGGACCTCGGATGCCGTTCAAACGAATATCACGGGTTTTAATAAAACATATATGAAAAAATTATGAATGTGTATGAGATTAATTATGTATATTAAAAAATTTGGGATGTGACCTATCCTCCAGGTTATGGCCCCTAACACATTTTGTGGCTACCCCCATGTTTGAAATGACCAGTTTTCTCGTAATTTATCATCAAATATTCAAAATAAATAATGCACTATGGTTGGATTAAGTGCATTTAATTGTGAAAACAAGGTGTGAAGTAAAGATAAAAAATTATTTTGATTTATCATTAACACTCTTTTTTATTTTAAAGAAATTTAAATTTCCTCACCTTTTTAACCCTTAACCAATAGGCTAAATAACCATAATTTCAGTGCCATTTTATGAAAAATCCCAAGATAGGTTTATAAAATATTAACAATATTTTGAAAGCAAACATACTTGATTATTTATTTATAATTATTTTGGGGTGTGTTTTTTGATTTAAAAAAATAAAATGCATTTGAAAAATGAGAAAAACCTGCCATTTCACCTAATATTATCTCCCTTTGTAAAACTCTCTAGTTCCAACAGTGAAAGGAGGTAAAAACAACACTATATTTACTCCCCGTCGAGGCCTCATCTACAGAGAGCAAACGAACTCTGGCGGAAGTTTGTAAGCATGACGTCTGGAGTTCCTTTTTACAAACCATGTGTTTTATTGATATTTTTATACAAAAGTGCCTAGATTATATAGTTCAGCTTCCTTAGAAGATGTGATAATGCTTGTTCTGAAGACATTCAACAGTTCGTGAATTTCAACATTGACCAGTTTCGTATCAGTTTGTCTTACGTAGGTCATATGCCATGTGTTGCACTTGCTAAATACAGTGAATGACTATCGAATGTGCACGAGTTATTTTGACTTTTCTTTAAAATTAAATACAAAGAAGTCAAGAAGGAAGCTATGTCAAATTCCAAGTCTTCTTAGCTCCAACTTACTTATTGAAAACCCAAGAGAAGATGGACTAAGAATTCCCTTCCAAGTAGAACACGTGAAATGTGAAAGCAGGGGTTTGAAGAAGTGTGAAATCCTTCATTTTATTGGTCAAGCTGGTGCAACGCTACCATTTATACGTAAGTAACTAAATGTTCTTATATACGATGTTATATTTATTCCTAGAGTAGATGATCATGCTAATCAAATGTACCCTTTAAGAGTTTCTCCAATTATTGTTTATTTAGACCTGTCAACATACAAAACTAAATAAAAAAAATATGTCAAATGTGTGGTTGAATGGCTAACAACACATTCCTATATAATTATTATACGCCCGTCTTAAGACGGGACATATTGTTATAGGCTTCATGTCCATCCGTCTGTCCGTCTGTTAGCTTTTTTGTTTCCGGCTCATAACTTTAATACTATTAGGCCTAGGATTATCAAACTTTGTCATCTAATGCATCTTGGGTAGAAGGTGTGTTGCGCATAAAAAGTAGGTCGCTCAGACCTTTAATTAAGAAGTTATAGTCAAATATGGAAAAATCCTTTCCGGCATATAACTAGAAAACTACAAGACTTACAATCATCAAACTTGGACAGTTTATGCATCTTAGGTATAAGGTGTGTCACAACCTATTTCAAGGTCACTGTGACCTTTAATTTAAGTGAAATTTAAAAAAAAAAAATGTGTCTTTTTACTATTCATTTACACATCCCAAATAATGTAAGAGTATTGCACTGTTCTTATTAAAAAAGTGTTAAATCAAGAAAATACTTATTTTTTTAAGCATATACTTGACAGCAATCTATAACAAATATAATGTATGTTAGAGAAATCCTACCTCTTCCATGAGTGTAATTATCAAGCACTGGTCAAGAAGATTTTTGATAACAGAAATTTGCATGTCAAATTAGAGAGAAATTAATGAGTTTAGTGTGAGGAGCTAACTGGCAGAGCATCTCTGATCAAGCAGGTGTTATCTATATCCCTTGGGTATTGGGCAAATGGGTTAAAGCCTGTTGGATTAAAAAAAAGCTCTTGTTTGCTAGCCTAAGTTTTAAAATGAATTTGATGAAAAGTAATTAAAACTAATTTGATATTGCATAATAGACTAATCTGATATTATATAATATTATTAATTTAAAAACTAATTTTATGGGGTGGGGTGGAATCAGCATGTCCATATGAATTAGATCTACATATTAAAACCTGTCGGACATTATATCTCAAAAAAAAAAAATCTTTGAGTATTTTATGAATTATATGTTTTAAAAAAAATTTGTGGTAGATAGTGCAGACCCATTCATCTCTTGGTAGTAATGAGTAGACAAGCATCCAGTTACTTTTAGATTAATTAATGAGTTCAATGTAGGAAGGCTAGCTGTCTCAATCATTTCTTTAGAGCATCTCTGATCAAGCAGTCTTATCTGTATCCTTTGGGGATTAGACAGAAGAACTGCTGGTCAGTTTATAGCATATTTGATTTGATGGCCTGCCTTTTATTTTCAAAATTAATTTGGTATAGATTAAGGTGTTAAGACTAATTTGATATTGTTTAATATGATGGGCATTTGACAAGGTCTAACACAACTAGGGGTGAAACGATACACCTCCTTCACGGTTCGATACGTATTGTATAATTTTGTCTCGGTTCGGTTATTTTCGATACGATACATTTTGATAGAAGGAAACAAATTCAACGTTGTTTTATGCTCTCTTTTTCTAAATCTAGTCACATATTTTACGAATTTTATTTGCAAATTGACTAGAAGAAATTGATTAAAATTATTTGACTGTCAAAAATTATTTTACAATCTATCAGTCATCAAAAATTTACGTTTTCTATACAGTATACTTATTTATACTGAGTAACGTGTTTTACCTTATGCCAAACCCGACTGAATAACGATCCCGACCGAAAAATGAACCGAACCGAAAATTAGAGATTTTGCACCGCGTATCAAACCGAGAAAAAATACCGCGGTGAATCGATACCGCGGTGAACCGTTTCACTCCTAAACACAACCAGCATAGAAATCTATCAATGATGCAATATTTATTCAGGGATCGACATTAACGGTTGTCCGATTGCCCGGGACAAGTAAATTCTCAGTTCGGGCAAGTGAAATTGTCGACATACTTGTCCGATCGGGCAAGTGAATTTTTCTGATACAAAATGTACATATTTATTTAGTTTACATCAATTTATAAATAAAACAATAAATTGAACACTTGATTTCCGCCACGCACCTGACTGACAATGTTTTGCATTTGAAATTCCTTGGTAGCATTTCTGGATTATACCGTTCATTTAAAAATCGAGTTTGTTGTTTTCTTTCGTAGGAAATACACTCTACGTCTAACAAAATTTTGTTAACTTCTTATTAGGAAATTAGATTATTCAAGCACAGAATATAGGTACAGTGTAACACGTTGTATCCTGATCAAGGTAAGATTTATGTTTCGTAGCAACTATCTTCCTTAAGCGTTGCTTCACAGTTATCGCTGAAAATCACGAATTACAAAATGATCCTACCGCAAATAATTTTCAAAAATATGATATTTAAAAAGGAAATGGAGGGTTATTGCTGCATGGCAGTGTGTGTTAACAGGTTACATTTACAAGTACATTTACAAGCGGTATACATTTATGTACAAATGCAGGATCAAAATTTTTTCAGGTACCAGGTAGCTCAACTTGCCAAATTGACAGTAGTGTATTTCGTCACATTTTTTCTTTTCATAATGTTTGCAGTAATTAATAATTTACGTCTTAAGTTCCATCCTAATTTTGGGCAACCAAGTTTTGCATTCGGACAAGTCAAAGTTTGAGATCACTTGCCCGAAGGGCAAGTGAATCTGAAAGTTAATGTCTATCCCTGTTATTATAATTAATGCCTACATCACAGGGGATGGATAAATACTTTAAGGAATGGAAAAATCATGGAAATCTTAGAATCAAGGTTGACATGATTTTCTTGCACTCTAAACTGTTCAAGAAAATTGTAATTTTTTGACGGGCGTATCATGCTGTGGCGCGGCACTTTAATTGTGCTTTAATGCCAGTAAGGAATTGAATTATTCTAATAAAAATATATAATTTATTGTAGCACGCTGCTGCATGCACCATGTGTGGAAGAAGGAAGAGCCTTCAAGAGGAAGATATTTAGATCATTCATGGAGTGTTCTGAAAACATCAAACAAGGAGGTAAGTTTTAAAACAAAATTATAAAGAGGTACAGTGTATAGCATCTTTTCCCAATAATTTGCCTACTAAATCATGTTTTAATGGAAAGTACCTGTTACTATAAATAGATTTCTTCACACAGTTAAGGAAATGGAGTTATTGAAATAAATTTTACATTTATATCATTTAAAATACTTATCCCTAAAATATTACCTCGACATTTACAATTTCACACTACTATCAATTTTACAAAATATCAATTTTTTACTTGCCTGTGAAAATGCAAATGAGCTACATATTTGTAATGATTCAGATTGAATTTCAGATTATTGAAGATATCCTTCCTTGTTAAAATTAGCAAGACTCGGAGTTCCTGTGAACGTGTTGAAACTAGCATGAAATGCCTTTCTCAGGTTAGTAAAGTAGAGTACATATATTTTTTAGCTCACCTTAGCCAAACCTGAGCCAAAGGCTCAAATAAGATCAAGGGGAGATATAATACAAGAATTCGTAAAAATTTGGAGGGATCCTAAGACCTAATGGGCCTGAAAAAAAACCCAGCACATAAAGGACTTCTTTCTTGTCCACCACTTTCACATAATCTCATTTGTTTGTCAGTCTGTCACAGAAACAAAACTTTTGATTGAGTGAAGATACAGCTTTTATATTTCACAGATACATTCACTATGAAAGGTCTCTCTAATGTCCATGAACTATAATTTTGACCCCATGGCCTTGACTTCTATGTCTTTCAAGAAATTAAACATTGGTAATAACATTTGAAGGATAGAAGAAAGATACAGCATAAAGTTGTCTAAAATTTGGACCCACTTTTCATAACTTTTATCAAAACACAATTACTGTTTACTGAGAGAATGTTAGGAGTGATCTGCCCTTAGATTTAAATTTCAATAAATAGAAATTTACAGTATATTACTCAATTTATAATCAAGTCAAGTATTCTTGACATTTTAAAAGAACAAGATAAATTAATTGAAGATGTTATTTACATGTATCTTCTCCTTGGAAGTAAATAGCTATGATTTCTGTTCACTGTTACTGTATTGTGTTTGAACATTTTTCCTCGGGGTAAATGCCATGTACCATATATTGAAAATTAAATAGATAAACTTATTATTTACACCTTTATTCAATATAATTTTCTCAAAATCCAAAAAAAAAAACAAAAACATTTTGCACTTGTGTAGAGAGGATGTATGTATGCTCTGTTATTGTACATGTAATAGTTTTCATGTTCCATTTGGTTCCATTAGTCATTGTTTAATATAAACTAAAGTCTTGTATTATCTAAATCTAAATACTTATATTGTTTATTACAGAACCAAAGCCAGAGTTTTACATTTAGTCATGACATTCAGCAAATGAATGGGTATCTCAAGAAAATTGGAGAGAGTTTTCAGAAGATGAGGGATACCAGTGGGACTCCTACACTAAGTCAGCTAAATCATACTACATGTACAACAATATAACGACCAAAATGACTGCTGTTATTTTCCCAAAGAACATCAAAGAAATAGTGAAGAGTCTTATAGTATGTGAAGAAAATTCAAGTCTTGCCCAGTATTATACCTGAGGGAAGTTTTGACAACTTATCCTAAAGTGATCCATGGCCATGCATATCAAACTTCAGAAACATGACTCCACTCTGCACTACTTCCAATATGCTTCAAATCATTTTTTAAAAGCTTATAATAATGTACATTCTTAAATAAAATATGCATGTAATAAGTGTATAAAACTAATAAAAGTAATCTCATTGAATGTACAATTTCATCCTTTGTCACACATTATCAGTTGCAATTGTTGAATTTTATATAATTGACAGAAAAATTAAAGAAATCTATGTCAAAACTGACTATTATTATAGAGCTACAGCTTTAGGTCTATGATAAGAGTGAAAAACCACAAATTAAGTATTGTACACCTATGATTATTGTGTAATAATTCATCTTCATTTAAGTATGCCAGTGATCTACTTTTCCTGCTAGTGGCTCCTGAGTATTTCACAGAAAATATCTCAATTAATCACACTATGACCAATATTTGCACCCCCCCTCCCCCCCCCCCTCCCCCCCGCCCCATTAATTTTGCCGATATATAGAATACTCTAAAAACATAGCTACTGTATGCTTTTGTCCCCTCAGTAAATGACCATTTGACCTTTTTTTTTTTTGCTTTGAAGAATTTTTGGGTAATTTTCACTGAGAATGTATGGCTGTGCCCCCCCCCCCCTCCCAACCACTGAAATTGCTTCCTACAGGCCTGTAATCAATTTGAAAACATGAATGATAAGAACTCTAATTATTTATAGCCTCATTTTACTTTTCTTGTCCACATTCTACTGGTATTAAAATTATATGAGCTCAATAATCAAATTATTGAGACATGTTGACTGTGAATGGTTTGTGTTCATGTATATTTTTGAAATTCTTCATTGCATGTCATTCAATTACTAACATTTGAAAAAAAAACCGAGATCTTTAATACACATAATAATTGCAAAATGGTGTTTTAAAACACATAGAAAATTTACTTTATGAATGACATATTCCAAGAAATAAAAGTATTGATACAAAAAAAGTAAAAAAAAAAAATTAGCTCGAATTTCCTCTGCTCATCACATCTTTCGTATTTTCTTCAAAAAATAAATATCATCTAATTTTAAAATTGATTTTGAGTTATCACTTGGTTATTTTGTCCATTTTGACCATTTTTGATTAAACATTTTGTACTTCAGAGCATTCCGTGTCTGTAATCTGAAATCCTGACTAAATGTCATCCTTCAATATCCTGAAAATATGAATAAGCATACTATTCTTCAGTTTACTTTGAATCTTGACCTTAGCTTTACGTTTTGATAGAATCAATAAGTTAACTGTTCATCGACTCTTTTTGTTTTTAAGCTAAATTTGTAACAAATACGTTTATTGATACCTGAAGAAGATAGAATTTGAGTCATTGAACATGGTATTAACCCCCCCCCCCCCCCCCCGTCTTTTTCTCATAAAAAGGGGGGGGGGGGTCAAATTGAAATATCTGTGTTTCACTTTTATATCTTCACTACCTACATTTCATTTTAAAAATGGATAAGTAGCATGATTGATATACACTTCAGTGTTGTTAAAATTCAGCCACAAATGTGATTTTGTACCGATAAAAAACGTGAAATGAAAAATATATTCCAAGGAATGGTTGCCATGGTAACCCCTTCTATGTTGCTATCCTCTCCTAAAATGATACATTTTTATTCATTTCTATCATTAAATTCTATCTGAAGATTGTTTTACATAAAAATGTCCTCAAAAGAGAAAAACAAACTCTACAAAATATACCATCTTCAATGTATAACAGAGATTTCCCAATCTGTATTTGAGGAAATTCGGGATTAGGGTACATTTTCATTTTGATATTTCTTGAGTTAACTAAAATACACATGTTGGAAATCTAAATGAAATGACAAACCATAGTATAGATATTCTGAATAAACAAGAAGTTTTAAAAACCTATCTTGGAATTTAAAGATAAATATAATTGAAATAGAGGGTAAAATGGGTTTTTCTGCATTTTGAAAAAAGGACGAAATTTGATATTTTTAGCCTCCTATCAGCTTGAAACAATTCAGACTAAAGATTTAAATCCTAATTATTTTAATTATATAAGAATTCTTAAAATAAATTATATAATTGAAAGTGTTCATATTTTTCGTGTGTAAAGAAAATATAGGGGTTAAAAATGATATATTTCACGAAATAGAACCTGTCAAAATGACCATATTTCCATTAGTTCCGGTTGCCATGGCAACGGACATCCCGAAACATAAACTAAGGTGGTTTTCTCAGTTAGAC